ACACACACACACACACACACACACACACACACACACACACACACACAAAAGAGGAAGACAAAATGATAAACTGTTTTTTTTTTCACTTTACTGCTTGACTTTTTCCTCCCATCTCACGCTAAAGTTTTGCAGCCGTTCGGGGAGCAGTATAACGCTGGGCTGTTACTGAGTGCATGTTCATGTGTGTGATGAGCACACGAGAAAGAAAGGGTGGGCAAGCACACTTTCCTTCTCTTAAATCTTCCTTTTCTTTCTAATTTCTTCCGTTTCCCACTCTGTATTTCATGTATTTCTTCTTTAACTTTCAAACAATTGTTCTACCTGCAAGGTCCTTCAAATCCTTGGCCTTCATCCTAAGTGTTTATCAGGTTTTATCTTTACACAATGAAATTTAACTCACCTTGGCTTAGTCCTCCCCCTTCTGTTTTACCCTCCCCCACATCCGTCTTTTTCTCTCCACCAGAGGCGTGTGAGGGGGGGTTATGTACAGGGTTATTGGTCTCCTATGCTGCTTCTAACACACACACACGCGTAAAGCGGGCTTGTAGCCACGGCATATTGGATTGAAGGGTCATGGACAATCACCTTTATGCCTATAACCAAAGACACACACACACACAGGCCACAGGGTCAGAGCTCAAACACAATAATCTGCGCCAGGGTCAGGCCCACTTGACCAAGAGGTTTATGGGCCCCTAAACCTATCAGGCTGTAAGCAAACACACAACGAATGTACAGACACATACCAGCTAGCGCACGCGCACACACACACACACACACACACACGTTTTAAGCCGGAGCAGATAATAGTAATACGACCTGCTGATTGTAAAAGCAATCTTGATTCGTTCAGAGTGGAGGGGGCAAGGGTAGTGACGGCCACCATCTTTCTGCACCATTGTGGCAGAAGCAAATGTAAAACTGGAAGAAAAATGGGAAAAATATGGATGTTGATAAAAAAAAAAAAAAAAAAAAAAGGAGAATGTGGATCTAATGTGGTCGTGTATTTGGTACTGAAACCAGCTCAGGACTTCACGTCTTCCTTACATGACAAATAATATGTTGATGTAGAGTCACCATGGTAATAGTTTCCAGGTCTATGTCACGTGATTGGCCATTATATCTGCTGCCTTGTGATTTATAGTTGTACAATAAATCTTCTTTCATTGTTAAACTAAAAACATGTATTAATGTAGCTTTAATGTTAAATGTTGTGTAGAAATATGCAGTTATAATGTACATATTATAGTATTCTTTAATGTAGTTTTTTTAATTCTATATTCATCTTCTTGACTCTTGCAGCATTTTGCCTGCATTTGTTTCCTTACTATGTTTTGTATATAATTGTTATTGTTTGTTGTATGCACCGCTCGTACGTGAATAAGCTACTTGACAATAAACCCTATTCTGAATCTGATAGACTTACAGACCAATTGATGTAACTTGTTTACTTTACAAAATAACGTGTTAAATGGCTAATATAAATATATAATATTAACTTAACAGACAATTCTTAGAGTATCCTGTAAGAAATCATCATACCAGCAGCTGCATCTGTCTGTCTGGTGGAGGCTTCCACTAATGTCAGCATCTGAATGCTGGTTGGTTGGAGACTTCCCACTCTGGTCTATTACAGTGTCAGCTGTCTTTCATGTCTGTGAGTGTTCGGGTTTCAAGCCAGACATAGCTGATTAGCTCTGCAGACAGGCCAAACTCAATTTCACCTCATTGGAGCGCCACCACAAAGACTCACTGAGTGGCTCACCTCCCCACCTCCCGACGACCCAACACTGTCACGCACGCATACACACACTCAGACAGAAAGACCTCTACTGACTGATAGACGTGTACTATGCGAGTGTTGGTGATATCGATCCAAAAAAACAAAATATAAACCACATTTTGACCTGGCAGATATCAAAATAAAATTTAAAAAAAAAAAAAAAACAGTGATGAAACACAAGTTTGGTCATTGTACGGGACACTGATCGTATTTGTTAAAATTCCAAGAGACAAGTGAAACTCCCTCTTCGGGAATTTCCCCAAAACAAATTCTAAAAATAGTTTCATCAGAGCTGAAATCAAATGCAATTCCTGGCGCTCTAACTGGGAGAAATGACCTCAAACAAGAGTTCATCTGGATATTGTAACAACTGAGGTCCTTTAAACCATCTGCTCGCATCATTATCCGGCTGCATTCTTATGGTTTCTATGAGAATAAGTTATCGTAGCATCATGTTCTAGTTTGACAGTAATGACACATGTAGTCCTCAGACAGCGCATGCAAGCGTATGTTTGTGTGTTTGTGTATTTGTTTGTTTGTGTATTTGTGGGTGTCAAAGAAGTGTATGTTTGCTGCGCAATTACAATGTTGAGTCATCACATTGTCAAAACATGTAAAACATTTACTGCATGGCAGGAACTCAGAAATCCTGTAAGCCTTCATAACACAAACACACACACACACACACGTGTACATGCACCTGATCTGATTGCAGTGGGTCAGCAGACCATTGCGTGCAGAAGTTCATCAGCTGACCATAGACAGAGGGGGAGGTATGAGTCCTAAATAGAGAGAGTGTGTGACTCAGAGCTTTGGTCTTGAATTACTTTTCATCACACTGCTACAGCATATATATAAACTGTATCCATTATCTTATCTTTTTTGAAGATTCCATCACAACATTAACTCCTGACATGTATTAGATATGAAATAATCTGGAAACGAGAGTCTACAGCCATGCTAGCTGCTCTCTGAGGCTGTACTTAATGTAAGACACAGCGGCGCTTTGAGGGAAATGCTAATCTCAATATGCTAACATGATCACAAGCACAATGTTATGTAATGTTCATGTTTAGCAGCTGTAATGTTCGCCAAGTTCACCATCAAGTACAGCTGAAGCTGATGGGAACGTCATTAGTTATGCAGTTATTTTGTCATAAATCAGAGTACTGGACAAATAGAAATGTTGACCTGATGATGGCGCTAGATGAAAAGTCTCAGAAATGTGTTAACCATTGACATCTGCACCACATTTTCTGGCAACCCATCCAATATTTGGTGAGATATTTTACTCAAAGACACAGTGGCGCTAGAGGGACAGTCCAGGGTATCACTAAAGTCATTAGGATTCCTCCTCTGGGGACTGTGAATATCTTTGCAAAATGTCAAGGCAGTTTATCCAAAAGCTGTTGAGGTATTTCAGTCTGGATCAAAACGGTGGACCGACCAAATCGACCAACACTGCCATCCCTAGAGACTGCTGGCAAGGCTGAAAAAGAAAAACGCCCAATCGATCAGATGGCAAATTTTCTAAAATTTTGCAAGCACTAGATATTTCAATAATCAGACCACACAACGAATAACAAACCATGAGAAACTGACTCTTTCACATCTTTTTTTTTCACATTAAAACCGTCTTTTCACTTGCCTTTTTCCACAGGGAGGTCAGAGGTTAGGGTCATTTTCTGAGCACTGAACCCTGAGCTGGAAGACTTTCGGTGTCTTGCTCAAAGCTACTTCAGCAGGATGGATGCCTGCCAACACAGGGGTCTTGAACCAGAGTTCTTTGCTTGATCAATGGTCTCTTTTACCACTGGGCCTCCCTGTCGTCCCCGATGTTCGTAATGCCGCGTCTCTGGCCACAAATAAAAGCAGGAGTTGCGTTACAGCTGCCGTCATGATGCCAAAGAAAACCCAATGCGCCCAGTAATGACAGACAGGTCCTGACCAAATTGTTGTGAAAGCCGGGGTAACATGACTGAACTGTGTGGTGTAATACTGCCACAACTTGCGTGGGAAACAGCGTTCAGCATCGTCTACAATCAGACTACTGAATAAGCTTCGGGTTTGGAGTTTTCCCTTTAGTGTGTTTCTAACATCTCATGGAGATGCGGCGTCATGTTATCTGTTCACAGTAGCATGTTCATGACACCCTGAGGACAAACCCTTTCAACTATCAAACACAATGCAGGCCATAAACCTGTCATGTCACGCACATACACGGTTTTATAACATGTGTATCCCTTTGAGAAAAGACAGAAGCTTAGAGAAGAATGCTCTGATCCCAACTCTACAGCTGGAGGTAGAGAGATCCTCCGATAAAACAGAGCCAATGCAAATACAATCTATGTCTGTAGACGCCTGAGAGTCTCGTCTGCATTGTTGTGTAAGCCATCCTCAGCGGTCCTGCACACATCCATGCATACAGGTACTCTAACATCTCCACAACCTTTTCTCTATCCTATAGCCTTTCTGTTAGCTTGCATATGACATTACATAGCACGCCAACAGAGGCACGGACGTCTGGCCAGTGTGTCATAACATTGCGAAACAAGACTAAAAGTCTACAGCCATGCTAGCAGCTCTGTGAGGCAAAGCGGGGGTTTGAGCTGAATGCTAACATCGGAATGCTAACATATGCTAACAACGCTAACCCACGAGGGTTTCCCCCTCTCGGTCGATTAGTCGACTAATCAATCGTTTTGGTCTAATAGTTGTTTTTACATGTTTTTTACATGCTGAATAACTTATTTCCAAGAAACTTAAGTGCACATCTCTGGTAAACACAAGGTTTAAAGTAGTGCTTTTGTGTGATTCTTTGTGGAGAACCTCAGTTTTACAGATCTGTTAATTAAATCAACTAATCGAATAGTCGACCAAAAACTTTGGTTGAGGACAGCCCTATTCCCCACTTTAGTTTAATGTTATCATGCTAGTTATCATGCGCAACTACACTAACTAGCACAAAGCACAATGTAGAGCTGAGGGTGATGTTAATGTTATTAGTGTTGGGAACCAGTGTCTGTAAAACAATAGTGTCTGTAAACTCCAATGCAATACGTCCAATAGTTGCTGATATTTATTATTGGACCGACATTGCCATCACTCGAACTATGCCACTAACGTTTTTCCATATAGAATTTTAAGCATTAAAGGGTGACTTCTGTATTTTCCATGATTTTGTATATACAACAAATTTGGTTCACCCTCCTCTGCCCGTTGCCCCCTCTACTCTGGCTCAAATAAATACGGGCATCCATCGAATTCAAAGACCTCATCCACTTTGTCGAAATCATCTAAATATTTAACCATGAAATTGAAAATATTTTAGATAACACTAAGCTATGCTTTCCGTAGTCCAACACAACAAACTCTGACCGGCTGGCAGTCACGTTTCCACCATTATCTTGCAGCAACATGTCAATTTCTGAACGTGACTTCCCCTTGAGCAACACTCTTTCCATAATGTTGTCAAGACGCTTATAACAACACTCAGAGCCTGTCAGAGCCAAAAACAATCAAAATAGGCCGCAGGTTGAAAATACAGAAGTTACCCATTAATATATCACCGTCGGATCAATTATTGCTCGTGACCTGATCAAACTATAGTGTTTCCCATGATCCCCATCACCTCCAGCCACACGTGTATCAGTCTCCCAGCCACCTCCTCTGCTTGTCCAGCCAAAAGGTTTTTCTCTTTTGCCGACGATGATAAACATGATGGAATGTTGGAAGTGATTTTTCCATGTGCTTTTTACTCCTTCCAGTGCAAGCTTTATCGCTGTTCGTGCGGGAAGAGTACAACAATCTTCCTGTTTTTGTGCCACGGTGAAGCATTCTTGAAGAATTTCTTGCCTACACCAACCCGGTGACATGCCATGAAAAATGCAGTAAAGAAGAAGCAAAATGCTGGAACGACTCATCGATGTCAGATACAAGCATGTGCAAAGCAGCGAAAGGAAAACACCAAACTGCATTTAAAATGATTCAAACACAACACATATCACAAAAAAAATGTATTTCTTCCCCATAACAAGCGCTGGGTGATTATTCGTCTCTTTAGGTTCAAGACAAGCGTTAAAAGAGCACACGTGAACAAAATGAAGATGTTCTGTGAAAGACATATGACGCAACATGTGCGTGTGTGTGTGCTCGCGATGAGAGCATCTAAAATAACCTTTATTGTTCAGTGTGGGCATCCTGAAAACATCTTTGAGAGGGATGGAACATTCCTGAGACAGGACGCTCTACCGGGGGAAGGAAGGGCAAGGCTGTGACACACACACACACACACACACACACACACACACACACACACAAGCACAGTGACATAAAGAGCCAAGGTTGAAGCGTGTGAACCGGAAATGGGCGCCTGTCTTGCCGTGGACGGATTCAGAAGGTTCAGAAAGCTCCAACCTGCAGACGTTCCCAGCCGTGTTCCCAGCTCCGCTACGGAAGTCTGCACTCTGTCTGCAGCATCCTGGAGACATCGCTCACCTCCGTCCACAGCAAAACATGTCTGTCACTCTGTGTGTGTGTGAGATTGATAATGACGCTTCCACAATAACACACACACACACACACACACACACACACAGTCAGATAACCCAGGGTGAGCTGTTGTGTAATGGAAGGAAAGGCTGTCCCGCAGCCAAAGTCAACACATGCTGCTCTGACCTGAACATAACAGGCCAGTCAGCTGGTTTCAAAACACACACACACCCTCTCTTGTGATAGTGGTCAAGTAAAGGACATCACATACATTGAGGAGTCCAAAATAAATCACAACTACAGTGGTAACCAGTAACAACTTTAAAAAAGTACTTAAAAAGTAGAGGAAAGGTGGTATGGGCGTGCTTACGTGGTTGTCGGCGGTCAGAATGGGGCTGAGAACGGGGGAGCCTGCCGGGCTGCAGAGCTCAGGGAAAGGGTTGGGGATGGCGGGCAGGGAGGCCGGACGCAGCAGATGCTCTTCCTGCAGACACCTGCAGAGGGAGACACACACACTATTGTCATGGCTGGGTGTTTATTAATGAAGGCCTGACAATACTGTATGCACACAATGACTGGCATCAGTTTGGGAAAAGAGAAGGTATGGCACACATATATGACACTAAAAAGTTCTTCTTTAGGCTATGCTGTCTTGTATTTTTTAAACATATTTTCACAGTGCTTCCAGCCGTATTTATCTTAATATAAAACAGAGAAATCGATGCAGGGGGCAGGTTATGTGCGTCTACCTGACGGCCTGGATGTGCATGGGCTGGGAGTGCCGCAGCTTCTCCCTGGAGGGGGATGAAAGGGGCAGGGGCGGGGTGTGACGCCGGTGGGCCTGGCCGTGTGCCGGGTAGGCAGGGTGCATGTGGTGGTTGTGAGGAGGGGGCACGTGGCCGTTGTTCAGGAGCAGCGCCGTGTCTGCCTGCGTAGAGTAAACGCTCTCCATGGAGGAGTTCATGTCATTCACCAGCTGCTCCAGATCCACATCGTCGTCTGCGTGAGGCGGGATGGGAGAGGTGGAGAAAGGGAAGGAAGAAGAAAGTGAGCGACGGTGAAAAGCTGCAGGACAGCAGATATCCACTGGCCTCAGTGGGTAACAGTGTTTGAGAAATTATTTTTAAACCATCCACAACCAGCTGATAATCATTAGAAATCATATGAATCCGTTTAGTTCAACTGTAGCCGCCAGGTTAATGACTAAAACAGAGCTACAGGAGACGCAGAATGATTAGAGGAGTCAACACTATGGAGGCCAGTTTGTCAGAAATTGTTATCAAAGGGATCCTGTTTGGGTGAGAAGTTAACTTTCTGGTCCGTAAAGGATTACATGTTAGAACAGACAGCTCAGCATTTTGACCTTTTGTCCCACTCCTACCTACTGAGGCAATGCCGCAGCATTCTGGCAAGTGCCTTTCATTTGTTGTCATTTAACACGGTCAACAGTCAAAATATTGCCAGAAGCACTGGGGTCCTGAACCATCGATCACTAGACCAGAGAGCAAGAAAGAACACACAGCCTTGTTTTGAAGTTTCACTCCTCCTCGTGTTGGATTTCACTTTGGTTTGGATTTCTTCCAATGGCTGTGTAGTACACTGACTCACTAGCTTGCCATTGGTCCGATTACGTGGAAAACTGTCGTCCACCGGGCCGAGTAGCTAATCAAGCACTGGAAGTTGGCACCAACAGTCACCCACAGACTGAACCCACACCAATCCAAACCAGAATGAAAGGATCCAGTCAACAAGGCAGTTTCCAGTCAGGGCTCCTTTCCCCTGACCGGTTACTAATTAACTGAAGTCAGTCCAGGATTAATACTTAATCAATTACCCTTCAGGGACAAATGGAGTAGAACTTCCAGACTGCACTCGTTATTTACCATTTATCAAGCTTAAAAGCTAATGTTAATGCTAGCTAGTGGGGAACAGTGTAATCTCTCCAATAAAGCCAGTTTTAGGTTATATGTGTATGTCATTTTATATACAGTATATATCTCAATTCCTCGCCCCGTGTTACCTTGAATTTGTGAAGAGAACTTTGTTTTTCTCACATGCCCAAAAGTTAAACAAAGAACCTGAAAAATGAAAAGATTCTTGATGAATTGAAGTAATTGGATGCCACGTTTAACTACTACATCAAAACATCCGTTTAAAAACTCTCTCACAACTCGTGCAGTATAATCAAAGTCTCGTTTATCCAGTTGTATGCTCACTACTTCTAAAACACATGCATCTACGCTAATACCGTACAATTTGAAACACTTCTGCATAACTGCGTGACATTTTAGCAAAGATGCATGCGTTTGGGAAGTAGTGAGCATATGACTGGATAAAAATGACACGGCACGAGTTGCGTGAGAGTTTGTAAACGGATATTAAAACGCGGCACCCAATTACATAAATTCATCAAGACTTTTCGTCTTTTTTTTTTTGTATCCCTGCATGCGAGAAAAATATATAAATGATCATTTTGGGGGGTTAAGTGCTCCTTTGAGCGCCTAGTATGTCTCCATGTGCTTCTTTATGTGTGTGTCCAAAGCCCTTCAGTCCTGTGTGTGTCCCACCACGACACCACACTCAGAATTCCTAAAATTCCTGCAAGAAGAAATTACAGCGCTTCTACAGCCTGCGCATGGCATATGGTGGCCAAATGATCAGGACGAAGTAGGGCACCAAAACACACACACAGAAGAGCCTAGGACATCATGTACGCTATGCAGCGTTGATGATCATGTGCATGTAATTATACAGAAGATTTTTAAAAGCACATATTGTACTGAATGTACACACGCACACAGTGAACATGCACGCTGAGCGAAAAAAAAGCCGCTGCAGAGCAGGAACAGCAGGACTCGGCCCGTCTGATCTCAGATCACAAAGGAGTTTGCATGACACACATACGCACACAGAAAGGACAGTCTGGGACACAAGGTCATGTGATGCTGGGGTTCATGAGTGGGACATGGGTTGGGGGGGAAGAGGCGTGGGGGGGCACACACAGTTGGAAAAGAACAAGAGAGCTCACGAGGACAGTCAGAGGTGATTATAATGTAAAGCTGTGACATGTAGGCCTTTTTCACAGCAGACATTTTGACTCGTCACAGTAGGAAAAGCTCAGGCGTGAGTCAGCTTGCATAATACCAGGAACCGAGACGGGTAAATGAAATTGAGCATAAATTCATTTCATTATTTACACTTGTGTCAAAATGTCTTTCGTGAAAAAAAGGCCTCTTACACATTGAAGGCTATAAATTTGACTTTTCAGGACTTCAATATCCAGAAATCCTGTGATGTGACATTTATGAAAAATAAAAATCAATTTTTTGAGAGTGTTGGGCTTAAAATGTGCACTTTCAGTTATTCCAGTAAAGGAAAGTACTGAGATGCTTTAGTCAGCATGCTAGCGACCCGGCTTTGGTCCAAACTGAAACATCTCAGCAGCTACTGGAAAGATCTCGACATTTCATACAGATTTGAGATTCCCAGAGGATAACAGTATCTCCAGCTCAGACAAGCGTGCTGGGTTTAGTCCAATCAGATCACAGCTCATTTGCTAACAGACCTTTTTGACGAGAATTCACTATCGTTATTGGGGGGGGGGGAATCTTCCGTGACTACTTTTTGGGAGTTGTTGATGACTACTAAAGTGCAGCGGTCATGAATGAGGAGGTGGTGAAGAATCATTGGTTCAGTTGTCATTGGAAAGTCTGGCTTTCTGGACAGACCGCACGTTTTCCAATTTGTCACTTTATATATGCAAACACCTCAAACAAACATTTCATCAAGGCAAAATATCCACCTCCATCATCTTAATCTGGGGTGTGGAAGTTTTTCCCTCTTGCACCTCTGCTCCGTTGAAGCACCACTTTGTGTTTAAGGCTGATAAGCCGGCTGCAGTTTTACATTAAAATGTAGCCCAGTGCAGCTTTAACTTTAAGAGGATAATGATGCTACCATTGGCATTCCTCTCCGTCTTCCCGTTGCTGGCTTGGCCCACGCTGCACTGCTGGCTTCAGAGGGGGAAGCCAGTGGACATATAGCATTAAAATATATCCTTCCACTCTTCTACGAACTGCAACTTTTGAATGTAGATTAACTGCTGCAGCACTCTGGTTAGCATCCGACGACAAAACTTACCATACAACCGCGGCCAATTCATTCCTGTAATATCCCAGAATACGCTGAATGAGCGCTCTCTATCCCTGGCCACGACAACCTGCAATCAGCGATCTCTGACGGCAGACTAGAGGTCAGAGCAGAGAGCTGGGCGTTCATGGGCAAAGTGCAATGGAGTTCCTCTATATGCAATAAAAATACTGCAGTTATATTTAACATAAAACTGCAGTCGTAGTCAACAAATACTTTATATTCTGTACTCGGATCAGATTGTATTTGTCTGTCGTCTGTGTCATCACATTTTGCATTGCACATGTTTTCACTGTGGACAATAAAGTGAAAGTGAAACGAGGGAGGTCACGCTCCATCACCACACATGATGTGTAAATGTGGGTGGGTAAAGTGAGGTACTAATGCTTTTCTCTCTGAACAATCTTTACTGAAATGCAAGTCGTTTTTTTGCCATCGCCATTTTGGCTTTTTACAACCAGAAGTGGCAGGAGAGAGTGATGTTAAGTACAACCGATGGCTCAATGAGACAAGCATACCCTGCTTTATCGTTTATTTTACCATCATTTACTAAATGAACATCATGCTGTATTGAAGAAGACTACAAACCATCAAACTCATGTTTGCTGAGGCTATAAATCAAGTGAGAAGTAGAGTCATCTTCTCATAGACTTCTATACAATCAGACTTATTGCAACCAAAGAAGTCGCCCCCTGCTGGCCATTAGAAAAAAAAACTTTAAGAAACTTCCGCATTGGCTTCACGTTTAAGAACCAGAGGTATCCACCTTGTATTCATACTGAGCAGCACAAACAATGAACACCATTAAAGTGAAGCAGTAATCGTAGTTATGAACGAAACATTAAATCTTTTCAAGTAAATTGGCTCGCTTACATGTAATCGACACCATGGTATGTATCAAGACACATGTCATCAGGCCCAGTATAAACTGAGGGCATGTAACCCGAGCCTGGCATGATCTAAATATACAGCACGTCCCGTCAGTGAGGTTGATGTAATGTTTCTCTGGAGTGCAAAGTCAGAATGGTGACGCAGTAGCTGGGTGCCTTTTCACTGAAGTCATAAATCAGTTATTTCTCTACAAAACATACTTGATGACTGATGGCTACACCAAAAAACTGAATGAGTCAGCTTGGAAACAGTGAAAATATTCAACTTTACTACTTATGCAACTATACGATCTTTTTACTCTCAGCATAAACTCTCCTCTGCCTGTCACTGGATGACCTACAGACCTAAATCAACCCGATTCACGTGAAGCCATATTTAATGCTCTCACGCAAGCGAAGACCACCACACATCAGCAGAGCGGACAATCCACTAAAAAAAAAACAAGCAACGTGATAAAAAAAATATGTTGGGGAGAGACACCCCCTCTTCGCCCCACAAGTTGGCCGCTTTTCAAAAAGGATTTCCAAGATTTTCCACGATGGCTGAAGGGAGTTCTGGGAATATATGAGGATGGGGATGTGGGGGGTTAGTAGAAAAGTGCTGAGCAGTGCTAAAAAGAAAAAAAAAAAAGGGGGGGAGAGGCATTTTAACACTTGTCTATAACCTCTCCATCTGGAGAGCAGAGCCTGCAGTGATGAAGGGAGACAATGTACTAGATGGAGATGGAGGAGGAGAGGGGGGATTTCAAGGAACACAGGAAGAACATTCAGTGGGCCAGCAAATGTGTTTTGGCTGGCTGGAGAGATCCCATAAAGAAAGGTATGAGAAAAGAATGTGAAGTGAGTAAAATATGGAAGGAACTGTTTCTTCTTTTACGACATTAAGAGTAGAAAAAGACATTGTAGGATAAGGGGCATATAATTTAATCGCTTCATGTTTCATATTTACATCCCCTGAACAGATCTGACATAAGTTGGATAGGAGCGGAGAGTTACCGTGATGATGTGGCAAGTTTTCATTGGCCGAGCGCTGAAAGCCTGGAACAATCAGCTCCTCGGGCCGGTGAGAGGAAGTGCGGTCCATGCTTTCCTGTCAAAACAAAGGCAAGAAAAAGAACGATTTTTATTCAAAAAGGCAAAGACCATGTTGTAAAAGCCACGCAGGGGGTTTAAGATGTCAGATACATCAGTGAAGGGTAAGACAACGTGTTTGTTTCACAGAGTTCGGAGGGTCAGACAAAGGGTGGGTTCATGCCTCTGCTCTCGAGGAACAACAAGCCTCACGTTCAGAGGTCAGGTGACCCTTTGACCCTGTGACTTTCTGAACTCCCCTCTCTCTCTCTCTCTCTCTCTCTCTCTCTCAAACACACACATTTCAAACTGTCACATGTGAAACTCACCCCAGATACTGACTTGTGTGTTTCAAAAACACAACAACAGATCAATCACTTTTAAGAGCAAAAACATACCAGCTCAGGCGCACTCAAACAATCTCACACATCACACGGAGATGCACACACACACACACACACACACATATACGTACATGCACACTTATACACTGCCAAATTCCTCACACGTTGTCTAATTTGAAGCAGCCTCACGGTAAGAAAGCTGCAGTGAAGAAGGGGAGGGAAGACAGCCAAACTCATTTTTCGATCTTCCCTTTTCCAGGAAAAAGAAGAACGAGGAAGCATTGCTTCCAGGAACTGCTCGAGTCCTGGGGTCACGCTGTGCATGTATGCACACACACACACACAGCTCCACACTGTGCTTCGAAAACATCCATAAATGCCCAGAGTAAGATTTATAGCTCTGAGAAGCAGCAGCCAAAAGCTTTCCAAGGAAGGCAACTTGGCTGCGAGGCCTGTGTGCTGAAAAAGAAAGTCTGCAGGCTTCAGCTAATGCGGTTAGCTTCAACAAATATAAATATACAAAGACATACTTCTACTAGATGCAATACTGCAGCCATAAAGATCTTGATAACTAAATAAATAAAAAAAGTGCAAGAATCATATCGCTGCAATGAAGTGTTGGGAGTTTCTAAATTTAAAAAAAACTTCAGGACAAATCAGGAGTTCAAGATGTTACATTTTGTTTTAGGTGAACATTCTTCTTCAGCACTCTCAGCACTGGTTTGGGATTACCTCCTCGAGGACACGAGGGTGTAATTGTGTGCATGGTGTGGAGTTGGAGGCTGGACAGTGAACTAGATCTAGTAACAGATATCAGTACCGGCAGTGGTAATATATGGCTACAAGTAAATCCAGGGCAAATCCCTTTCCCTCTGCAACACTCCTGCAGTAAAAGTCAGCTTTAATGGCTACATTCCCTATTAAAAATTCATTGTGAACTCCCGGTAATACACTTTGACTGACTCTGAAGATGGTGTGCTGATGCTACCTTAATGGTCAACTAGGTCCCGAAGTGACGGGAACTGATCTTGGCAAAGAAATAGCCTTATTAAACATGCTTTTCTGATTATTCTGGCGGATTGACTGCAGTCTGTGCTAAAACCATCTTGAATGAGTGCGAAGAAATCTTGTTAAAAGTTATAGATGTCGAAATGACTACGTTGACATGACTTATTATTGCATCGCGTAAAAAGATTGCGTCACGCATTAGTGGCAACACACCATCAAGCAGCTGCTTGTGAAGCCCGTGAACTCCAATCAAATTGTGTGTTGAGCCATAAAATGAAAAAGTTTGTTTGGTTTTGGCTTGACTGTTAATATGGCGGTTGGGTCATAAACTCTCATTTTACAGTTAAACAGTTCACTAAGTGATGTTTCTGAAATCATCTGAGGAGAGAAATATACGCATTGTAGTGACATCATCTTTATTCATATTTGAAACCAGTTTTTTTAATATATATATATATATATATATATATATATATATATATATATCTCCTGAGATCTCCTTGGATGTGAGTGAGGTATTTCTTGTGTTAAATAAATCTGTTAGGGCCAGTGTTTTGGTTCTTGCAGTCAGCACACGTCTCCCCTTTCACTCTATAGCCCACAGCACTAACATCTAGGCATTTCAACATACAACAGAGAATCAAAGGCTACGCTTCCTCGAAAGCACACGTGCGAGACTGAGCGTGCCCATTGCCACGGCGCACACTGCATACAGCCGCTGACCTCTGACCTCTCAGAAAATAAAGACAGAAAGAGCTGTAGTCCATGGTCTCAGTCAGAACATACACATTGGCACAAATACTGATTATCAGGGGTGCAGTCATTCTTTCTGCTCTTCTGTCCGGTTAAAGTCTGAACTCAGTGGTGCTTGGAGTCTGTGGACGATGGCGTCTTAGTGCTCTGCAGTTCATGTGTATGCACATGAACAAATACACACGAATATGTAAGGAGATGGGAGGGAGAAAGGGAGAGGGAGAAAGATCCGAAGGTCTCACTAAGATGCGCGCACACACACACACACACACACACACACACACTTTGTAGACAGGCCTGGAACGCTGCCCAGATTCCCCAACATGCCCAGCGTTATGTATAGTGTTATGCAAGTATGCAGAAATGAGGGCTCGTTTGCTCCTTATCTACACACACTAAACCTACAGTGACTGCCTACAGATGGGGTAAATATGTGTGTGTGCAATGCTGTGTCACGTCAACTGGCAAGCTTTACATAACCACACACACACACACACACACACACACACACACACACACATGTTGTAACCCACTTCTCTCCCTCCGACTATCAAACTTTTCTTCCTCCGCTAGATGCAGGGTGGAGGAATGTTGTTTTCTATGGGGATTCGATTCACTATTCACTGCAGTCTTACTGGTGCAAAACCTTTTCCTGGAAGCTAACGTGAACCAATCCAACTTCATGTCAGCTCACCGGGGGGCTCAGCGGTCCCACGGTTTGGGTTAGCAGGGAGCTGCATTTTTGTACCTCCATTAAGAGGAGTAAGGCAGCTGAGGCGACGTCACCTCCATCGTCCAATCGGCCCCAGTGAGACGTCACGCCATCAATCCCGAGCCCCCCGGGCCTGTCACACAACAAAGCCCGCAGCTTGTTATTGTTGTTTGTTTAGCGCTCTATTTATAGACCTCCGCGATGCTCTTTAGCCAAATTCTTTAGGTTACTGGCGGGTTGTACTGGAGAACATCCGAGCGGAGAAACAAAGGGCTCATTTTGCAGGAGTTCAACAGAGGAAGTGGGTCTGTTGCGCTGCACAGACGCCATATTTTTCCTAACTAGGCCAGGAGTCATTCACTGTGAAGCAAGTAGACTCACTATACACAAGTTGATGATGAAAATAACAATAATTATAATAAAACACTTTTAGGACCTAATGATTTAAATAAGGGCTATGAAAGTGTTCATACTGGGAGGGTTTACCTAAAAGCAGCAGTTGGACAAAAATGATACCAAAGATAATTTTGTTCGCATAACTGAACTTTGCGGTGGTCAATAAAAAATGAATTGCAGTTTGCAAAATGTGCAGATAGAAAATTACAGACAGAGATGTCAAATGTGGTGAAGAGCGCATCATGACTTGTTTAGGACTCAAATTTCACAGTCTTGATTTGGGATTTGAGAACAAAGACTTGAGACTTACTTGCATAACAATGACTTGGCCCCACCTCCGCCCTTAAGACCTTCGGGCAGACTGTCACAGAGTTTTTGGGGGCATAATTAACAAAGGCTGGGTCGATGTGCCTTTTAGTTCTGACCTCAAGAAACAATCGAGAGGTTGGAGTTTGAGGATCTAAAGGACCGAGCAGGCATATATGTCGACAGATACAACAGGCGAGCCATTCAGTGATTTAGAAACCATTACAAATAATTTTAAAGTAATGTGGGCTCTCTGTTTGGTTATCGTCAGACAACGTCCAACGACCTACTCGCTAGTTATGTTATAAGTTACACCTGCGCTTTTCCTGCATTACTGAACGATAACATGCTCTTGATTAACGCGCTACCACCCACCACTGACAAGCACACATGCATGAAACACACCAAATATTCACCTGGTAGTTTGAGTGATGTAGGAAGTAGTCAGGGCATCCCGCTAAGGCCATGGTGTTCCTTCAGTGTTCCCTCTGCTGGGAATGACACCCTCTGGTCTCGCCAGCACCCTGCTCATGAAGGAACGGACACAGGACAGAAAACAGAAGCTATCACTAAAATGACCAAACAGAGATCACTATATTAACTGAATGAGAACGGAAAAATAAAGTAAAGTAGTGAGGAAATGATCAAAAAAGGCGAATTACAATGAATAAATCATCAGCAGGTGAGTTTCAATGCAACAACTTTGTAAAAACGGGGGTCTATTTGGTGCGCCTAAAGACAAGAGACAGAAAACCTTACATCCCTCTCTCTGCTAAAGAGAAAACAAAGCCTGCGTGAACAAATGAATGTGCGTGCATGGATGAACGTGTGCACACCGAATCCAATGTAAACACAGCCATTGTGTACGACACACACACACACACACACACACACACAAGTCCGTACCCAAACAAAGCCTGGGGCTTAAGACTAAATAAGAAACCCTGTCCAAGCTGGCAACACATGACCACTCACCACCTGCAGACTGAAGGGGGAGGGGTCGAGTCTTTCGGAAGTAACTTGAAATAGGAGTCGTCTATTTTTCACTGCATTGTGCGGCGTTACCTGTTGTGAGTAAGCAGGGGGAAGTTGTGCGTACGTGCGTGTTTGGAAAGAGGATACACACTGCAATAAGTCAGGCTGTTCAGCATCGAGTCTTGTGTTGCTTGGATGCAAATCATGAACGCATTGTCGCATAGAGGGACATCTTTGATGCAAGTTGTTATCAATTATCTAATCGCAGCTACACCCTAAAATGTATACAATCCACTTAAATATGAGGGTTCCTTGGCGTTGCATCATGTTGTTTTTGAGTCCGATTACTATCCACATTTGTTCAAAATGTTTTGGCTGGAAAACACGCATCCTCGCCTGTTGGTGGAAATCCAAGATCACCATAAAATTCCAATTGACTGCTCCCTTTAAAAAACTCCTATTGGCACCCAATGTCCTGAAAAGCTGCAATAACATTTTAGAGACGTCCGGCTCATTCGCTCACTATCAAGAGAAATACAAACGCTCCATAATGGGAAGAAATGACTTGTTAAGATGGATCTTTTAGCAGCCCACATACAAACGTCAGGGAAGTGCTGCAACCGATACTGTTTTCAAAACACACTGAATCCACACACACACACACACACACACACACACACACACACACACACACACCTCTGCTTCTCTCTCACTAAATAGCTCCACTCACTCGTTGACTCTGCTGGTTTCTCTTCACTTTCTCTCCCAGCATGTCTCCATTGTACGGGTTATTATATAACAGATATCAGATGGTTCGAACAATATCTCTTCCTCCTCCTCCTCCTCCTCCCTCCCTCTCTTTTCACCCCACTAATTACTGTTCCCACTGGGGCGCTGCTATCTTTAGGTCGCTCTGCTGACTGAGAATCTGTGTCTAAATGTGTGTGTGCACAGTTGCACACACAGTGAAAGGAGAGCCTCTCCACTGCTGATAATTGCACACTTTCTTTTCTTTCTTTTTTTTTTTTTTTACTGCGACTGGTTTTATATCTCACACGTTCCTGCATAGGCTTATGCGCGTGTTCACACCAATCAAACAGCTGGCCGAAAGGGCAAACTGGGCTGATCGTACATGTGGCTAATAAGCCTGAAAGCAAAGCTAAAGCTCCAAGTGCTTGACATTTGCTGACATTTGTGGTTCCTCCTGCAGAGAAAGGGAGTAATTCAGCTTTACTGGTCATACAGCAACTTATAATGAGCAACTTAATAATGCCACACGTGTGAGTGTGTGTGTAGACAGAACACACCACACATCACATCTTTCTAAGTACATATAACCACAGGTGCTGACATTGAGTGTGTTTTAGCAACAACAAAATAAATAAACACAAGTAGTCCTTAATGACATACTATCCACGTGCACCTGTACTTTACACACACACACAGTAGTATAATTCTACCACTTAAAGGCCTTAATGTTGCCTGATCCTAAACAGACCCGAAGTCTTCTTTATGCACCAGGAAGGAAGGAAGCAGGAAGTTTAGCAGCATGCAGAGATTAGCCTACATTAGGTCACAGCTAATGGAGCTTTATGACAGACCATCAACAGACAGACACACACACACACACACACACACACACACACACACACACACACACACACACACAGCTTATCTCCTTGTTGCAGCCCTTCTTGTATATGCTGTGGGTTCACATAACTCCCTTTCAGAGTAGCAATTAGTGGAAGAAACCAAAGTGCAGCCACAGTGAGGAGATGAAACAGTCACTGCAGTGGCTTTTTTTTGTTTACACTGGTGGTGCACTGGTGGTGCACTGGTGGTGCATCTAGAACCATCACCAATACAGTCTCAGCATGCATGCAGTGATAGAAAGTAGTGTTAGAAAATAACCCAGCTGGTGATCTTTATAAAGTCAACAACATAACAGTCTCTTGCAGAGCTGTATGCTCCGCATCCTCTTAAATGTCAGCCTATATATGTAATATATGTATATATTACATATATACATATCATATATGCATATACATATATATATATATATATATATATATATATATGTATATGCTATGTAATATAGCCCTTCACGGGCTATATTACCGAGAGATGGTTCAACAGACTTTAACTTATCTACAGTGACTTTGTATCGCATGCCACAGCTTAAAATGTCAGTACAGTCGGTGGTGTTGTAAGGTGGTCGGTAAGTTTTATAAGCGTCTTCTCTCCTCTGAATTCCTGTGCATGACGATTAGGCTTCTGTAGAAAGACTGTCCGACACCGAGGTAAACCATATGCCTTCTATACCGAGTTCCCAAACAAACAAGCGAAGTGCTTACGGTAATCAAAGGGCAGCTCGCAGCTCAAGAATCGTGTCCAGGACGCACGGCGGATTGGCACTCGGCGCGCATCGACTGTCCTCGTCTGGGTCTCGACACAAACTGTTTCCTCCAATAAAAACTCCGTCCGCTGTTCTGTTGTCTGCGCCTCATCCCCCCCTCCCTTCCCCTGAGGTGCTTTCCTTGCACACGTTCACGCACACAAACGCACACACGCACACATGCATTGTTCTCAAGCTGCACTTTTCGACCAGCTGACTCTTCCTCGCTCGCTTTCCACACACTCACACACACACGCGCGCACACACACACACACAGATGCATGCACACACACACTGAAGGAAACCTCCTCTCTCCGCCCCGCCCTGTTCACAGCAGCACGCTGCAAGAAATAACCTTTTTTTTCTTACAAGCTGTTGTGACTTTACGAATATCATGTTCAGCAAAACGAATAAGATAATTTAGTTTCCAGTAAACTATGGAAGTCCATTTCGGCCACTGTGATGAAAAACATCTTGGAAGTCATTACAATGACTTAGTATCTAAAATAATGACTTATATCTCAAAATAATGGGTTAGCAGCTCAAAATAATGACTTATATCTCAAAATAATGACTTAGTATATCATAATTAAGACTGAGTATCTCAAAGTAATGACTTAGTATATCATAATTAAGACTGAGTATCTCAAAGTAATGACTTAGTATATCATAATTAAGACTGAGTATCTCAAAATAATGGGTTCGCATCTCATAATAATGAAAAACGTTCTCAACATTTTGACTTAGTATCTCAAAAGAATGACTTGGTATCTCAAAATGAAGAGAAAGACAGTTTTTTGTGTTTTTCTACTGCACTACTGAAGTTGTCATTTTATTTTTCAATACCTTCTTAATAACTGTGAGGGCTGATATTTTTTGCAGCGTGTTCAACGCCTGACTTTAATRCTTCAAGAAGAGGGGGGGCCTCCTCTCTGTGGCACAGTCATCCATCCATCTGGTGTCACCACTGCAGATCTACAGTCTGCACAGCACTGTTGCCTGCAGCTTTTGTTCCATTTGTCAAATCCCATTACTCATTTACACCATAGGATTAAAAAACAGCCAAACTCCAAAATCCATATTATAGCCATACTACAGCAGTTAATCTCACTGACTCACTACAGTAGGACCATGAACAGACTGTATGGAGTAAGGGGATCTTGAGTACAGTATTGAGCACTAAACAAACAGAAGGTGCCAACAGAATACAGCATGTGGCCTAAAACTGTAGAGGTGAAATATAAAGTATATAGTATAGTTTATATGTATGTGGCCCTGCGTGATAAACAATTTCATCGTGTTAGCATTGTCACGGTGAACTATAGATTCTACATATGGTTTTGAAGACTTGAGTTCATTATTTTGCCCGTCGCCATTTTGGTTTTTATCCATTGCCTTCTTGGTTTTACCGAACGCGGAATAATACATTTTCAGGCGACCAAAATGTTACAATTAACTGAAAACACACTCTGAGAGGGTTAGCGACCTGTCAATCACAAGGTAACGATGTCCTAAAGCATATTTTACAAAGCTTCACTCTTAATGGGACCATAATCTACTAAATGAACATCATGCTGTATTGAAGAAGACGATTGAGACCATGAACTGAAAAAAAATGTTAACAATGTCCACTGAGGTAATAAATCAAGTGAGCAGTAGGGTCATTTTCTCATAGACGTCTATGCAATCTGACTTATTTTTACAACCAGAGGAGTCGCCCCCTGATGGTCAGAAGAAAGAACGCAAGTTGAAGGAACTTGTGCTTGTAACCACACACTGGCTATAAGTCAATTTATTATCAAGTTTGAATTTGAATGTCATCAATATTTGGCTTAAGTAGCAGAACATTATCCCAATCCTCAAACAAGTGAATGTGAAAAAAACATTTTGCTGTTGTAGCTGAAATTCCAAAGCTCCCACCAATGCTATGCACACGCCTTCTTTTACAGGCCATAAATGTTTGTACTGTGTTAGGTAATCCTTGACACCTCCTCCTCTTTCACCTATCCATCATCCAGCGGCCATTCACAAACTCCGGTTTCACCCACACTCACAGGTTAACTCAACCCTTCACCTTATCTGCTTTCAGACCTGCAGTATGCACGACACATGTTGGAGTTGACAGC